TGTGTGTGTGTGTGTGTGTGTGTGTGTTTGTGTTTGTGCTCGGCTATACTGATGTTTATAAATAGGAGATCATTTGATCTTATTCAAAAAATTATAATTATCTTGTTTAAAAAATTATGCAAATTGGGAGAAAGTAATGAAAAAAAACTGATCCGAACAAATAATTTCTTTTTTTTTGTTTTATTTTATAATTTAGAAGAAGAAGAGAAAGAATGTTGAAAATGATAATTGAATAATAATTTTCAATGAGCAACATATGCCAGTTAGGTGTTAAGTGGTGTCAACTATGATTAGTGTAAAGTATGTGCATATACATATATTTGTAGTAACATTTAAAAATGATTAATGATAATTAAACCAATCTTTTATCAAAAAGAAATCACTGATCACCATCTACGAATTAAAAAAGGAATTAAAATTTAACAATTGAAATTGAGAATACTTGAACATCGAAAACCAAACTGTATTAATTACTGCGCATAGAGAATTTTTTTTTTTTTTACATGGAAACATTTACAGTGATCTCGATTAAAAATTATGCAAACTGAAAGAAAGTAAGTGAAATAAACTGATTGGAACAGAGCAATATAATTACTTTTTTTTTGATTTGTTCTATTTTATGGGATAGAAAGAGAAGAAGAAAGTTAAAAATGATCAAGATATTTAATTTCCTCTCTCCCGTCCTTCCGCAACACTTACCTCATCTTTGTTCTTCTCTTATGATTTATATATATGTGCAATCATATAAAATGAGAGTATTTACATATTTAATACCTGTCGTTTAGAAGATTTGCAAATGCTTTAGCAATTTACAACGAACTATTTTATTGATGTTGCTAGGATGGAAAAAATTTATAATGATTTATTTTAAAATCATTAAGTTTTTGCTGAAAATGAGATATATGTCTATGGAAGACGAGAGGCGCCGCCTGGGTGAATCGAAGAAAAAAAAGAAAAAAAAAATGCTAAGATCAACGTAAGATCACCATTACCAACAAATCATTCATTCCCAAATCTGAACTTTCAACTATTACTATTTCTAATCCTATTATCACTAATCATGCTAAAATTATTGCTATTTCCTAAAATTATTACTAACAATTATTATTATTCAAATCATATTTTACTATATTTTTGAATTCATTATTTTACATGTAACTAGTGTGAGATAATTAAGCATAATTAAGCTATCTTTGTGAAGCATTACAATATCATAAATTTAGTTATATCATTTAAAATTTTAAATAAATATTACTTCATACATTCTTTCATCATTTATTTTTATCGATTAAGCTGTTTTTTTTTCGGGATAAATATAAGCAGTTTCTTTTTTTTTTCTTTGAATGAGATTGAACTTTACGTAGCATTTACAGTAAATTTCTTTAACTTAAGCCAATCAATCAATCAATCAATCAATTATTCTTACATTCTTAAATTCCAAATTTTGAAATGATCATCATGCTAAGAGTAATTTCGATACATATTGAATGAATATGATGGCATCTAAACTAATCGTTATAGCAGCATTGCATTGTTGTCATTTTTCGACACATCATGTACCCGAAATTTTCAAACATGAAATGAATACATCACGAATTTGTATTACAGTTACCTATATCCCAGCGGGATATCACATTAGATCGATGTGAAATATATGTATGTCCTTGATAATTTTCATGATATCGTTTCTTCCCCACTACTAACATCTTGCACTTTCACCATATTTTTAATTTAAATTTATACTTTATTTGTAAAATAACCGCATCATTTGTTAAATCTTATATGGTGAAAAATTTATAAACATATGCATGCTGAGTTTAAAATTAACTAATTAATTTTTTCTAATTAAAATTGAGTAATTTTTTACAAAGTGTTTGAAGGGAATAAAACTTATTTCGCCAAAAATTGAAAACATTATGCTTACAGATTGGTTGCAGAACTGTTTTGAAAGATGCACAAAGCGTCAAATTCAGAGAGACTTCGAAGTCCAGATGGTCTGAAATCTTCGGTTTTCAAAGCAATACGGAATGCAAGGGTAAATAATCCTACTAATTAATACGAACTTTTAGCTGTTAATTATTGGACTTGTTTTTACGTCTTAAAAAAAAAAAACAACTTAAATGTTTTTATTCATCGTTGAATATACTTCAGCATGCATACATCTTAATCCATATTTAGTTTCTTTCATTGATTTAAAAAATAATTTCTTTCAGTGATTTTAAAAAAAAGTTCATGAAATTAAAATTATTATCTATCATTCATTATGCTTATAACTCTATAAATGGTTACCATAGCACATTATCTAGTTATTGTAATAGTTTTGAATTTGCTAATTGATGAATGAAAATGAAAGTTATGAGTTATGAGTTCAATAAATTATCACTAATTTAAAAATTATGAAAATCTAACTATCGATTAAAAAAAAAATTTCAAAATGACAGTCAGAAGTAGAAAGCATAGAAGGAAAGGATCATTTAACATTGTGTAACAACTGTTTGATGCAAGAATCACATCATTATAAATAATCATGCGAATAAATCACGATACAGCGAAGAGAACAGGGTATGGGAGCAGGGAAGAACTTTTTCCCATCAGCGCTAAAGCTGCCCGCTATTTGATGAAATTTACCGTTAGCATCTATCATATTTCATATTTATTAATTTAAAACAAAAAAAAAAGCGAGCAATTATAATGGGAAACTGAAGGAATGTTACGAAGTTTTTACAGACAATCGCTGGAAATGATAGTAAAAATATTCGATGTCCATTTGCAACAATCGATGATGAACTAGAAATTGCTGATTTCCGAATATTAGATAAGAGTGAAATGAATGAGGAACTAAAACCGATGCAAAAATCACAAGAGAAAAATCATAATGAGGTACGCTTTTTTTTTGTGACCTGAAGAATTATAGGCCTGGAGAGAGTAATATTCAGGAACGAATAAAAATTAGAAGAATTTAGCGTTTATTTATATTTGATGTATTTGCAGTGGTTTATTTTTTTCACCATCCTGATCCAGATGATCGCTATAAATTTTCAATCAAAATAAGTTACAAACTCAAAGGTAGAAGAAAATAGAAAAATTCATGCATTTAACTAAAATATGAATAATTGAATATAATAGTATAAGTAATAGTAATGATAGTACTTGTATCAATATTCATAGAACGAAAAATAGGTATTGGTTCTAGCAAGATATTTCGTTGGGTAAATTGAATAGTTGTTGGATACGGTGAGTTTTGAGTATAAACTGGAATAGAGGAGAAGGAGAGGGATTGGATAGAGGTCGCAATGAGTTGTATCGTCTCATCTGTCCTGTATATATGCTCGGTATGGAACAGTTAACTTTTTTTTTAATGTACATTAAAGAAGAATGAACTGATGTGATACCAATGCAGCTGATTCATTCATTGTCAGTAAAATACTAAATTAGATTTGTTGAATTGATAAGTTAAATTAAGATGGAAAGAAAAAAAAAGTAATAAACGATAATTGTTATAAGTTGGAAAGTAAAACTCAACAAAAAAAAAAACGTGATTAAAATACAAAATCAAATTACACTATTGTGAAAAATGAATCCGGAAAAGATGAATTCTTAGAGTTTGCTGTTTATGTTTGATATAAATGACAAACCAGCCAATCACACCAACTTGTGATCCGCTAAAGGGGTGGAGGTGGTAGTGGAAGAGGTGGAGGAGTAGGAGGAGGAGGAGGAGGAAGAGGAGGACGATTGTCACAGTTTTGTGTGATTGACTCTAAAATTGTGCTGATGAGGATGAAGATGAGGATGATGATGATGATGATGATGATGATGATAATGATGACCTCCTCCTTCTCCATTCCATCATTAACATATAGAAGAAGGAGGAGGAAGAGGAGAGGGAGGGGGAATTGATGAAGGTGAAGGTGGAGCAATTGAAAAAGGCGGAAGAACGGAAAAAGGGAAGAAGGTTGGAAGGATAGAAGGAAGGAAACCACGGGAAATTGATTGTCAGGAATAATGTTGTAGCAGTATTAAAGATTCATCATCTATCCTACTATATTTATTTACGTGTTTGACTGTATTGTATATATTTATGGTATGTGCGTATGTTTACTCATTATCAAATATTTATAGTATAGTTTATGAGTGATAATTGATGTTCGCGTTTGGTAGTGATAAAGCCGCTCATTTTAACCTTTGTACGCAAATCATTTCAAACCCTCATCAATTCATTCATCCATCCATCCATCCATCCATCCATCCATCC